CGTGTGTGCTCAGCAGCTGCTGGCTGTCCATGTTCCCGGATGGAGGTGACTGACCTTTGACAGATGTTCTGGAAGGGAGGCTGGGGTACAGGGCACCTTAGTTCCCTGGGGCTGCTGTCACAGTAGCACCAATTAGGAGCCTAAAAGCCACAAATGTCTTTCACAGTCTGGAGGCCAGAAGTCAGCTCACGGTGGGAGGGTCCTTCCTGCCCCTTCCGGCTTCTGGTGATTCCTGGCAATCGTCAGCATTTCTCGGCTGTGCAGCATAATGCAGTCGCTGCCTTCGTCTTCAGCTTTCTTTTCCTCTAAGGATGCCAGTCGTTGGCTTAAGGCCCACCCTAACCTAGTAGGACCTCATTTTCATCTAACTAATTGCATCTGCAAAAACCTATTTCCAAGCACCAGGTGTTAGGACTTGAACGTATCTTTTTGGAGGACACCGTTCAGCCAACAACACCAGGCCTATTCTGCTCCCAAGCCAGGAGGTTGGGATAGCACTGGGTTTGCCTTGAGGACTGAACACCCCTCTGTGTGAGGGAAGGCGGCCTCACCCTTCTCACCTGGCTGGTTCCCGCGTGTGTGTTTTAAAGCCGGCACAGGGAGCCGAGTTCCTCCTGCTCCTCAGGCCACAGCGTGACTTCACCACCAATGATGAGGGGGTCTCTCTCATTGTTTGCTCTTTCTGCCCTGAATCACCCGGGATAGTAATGCTGGAGTAACAAACAACCCTAACGTCTCCATGGCTTAAAACAACAAAGGATTATTTCTGCTCATTTCTGGCCACATCGTGGTCAGCAGCTCCCGGTGTCCCTCGGGCACCAGAGCTGACGGGGCGGCCTCACCTGAGGGGGCCACTTCCATGCTGGAGGGGCGGGGCCTCGGGGCTCCAACCTCACAGCTCACAGCACAGCAGGTCCTGAGATTGGTGAGATGCTGTGGGAACTTAACTCCCGTTTATGCCCATCAGCCGGTGGTGAAACTGGTTTCCTTATATGTCATTTCATTTAAAGTTGCAGCACGCATGTCAGTGTAGTGAGGACCCACTGTGCTGGCCCTGAGAGACCTGCACCCCGTCTTAGCCAGGACTCAGCACATCAGGCCAGCCACTGGGCAGAGTGCCGGCCTACCTCGGGCGCAGAGTGGGGACAACAGGAAAGATGTGGCCAAATTCACCAACATCTGCCAGGAACACCAGGTTTTGTTTATGGCTTGTCCATCGCGTTGCCCATGGTTCCCATGAAGCATTTGCTTATTGAGGAGGCCCTTGCCCGTTTTATTCACACGCGTCTTTCTAATATTCCCTTCCCCAACTGCCGCAGGGCCCTGCTCTTAAAACGGAATTAAAGCCAAATTGGTGGCAGTGACGGGTGGCCCCTCCTAAGGCATTCACGTTGGTTCTCATGAAGTTAGGGTGTTCAGTCACCAGTCCATGGCGGAGTCCTGAGCATGCACCAGGGCAGGCTGGTGCCAGGGTGGCATCAGCCACCATGCAACCGAGATGCCTGCACTCATGGGGCTGGGTTCCTGCCAGGGAGACCAGGATGCTTGGGCTATAATAGCAAGACTCCATCTAGACCAGCGGTTCTCAACCTGTGGGTCGCAACCCCTTTGGGGGTCCAATGACCCTTTTACAGGGGTTGCCTAAGACCATCGGAAAACACATATATAATTACATGTTGTTTTTGTGATAAATCACTGTGCTTTCATTATGTCCCTGGACATGCTGCCCCCGGGAGCACCATGCACGGCTGCCTCGGGCTGGTCTCTGACACTCACTGGCCCAGGATGATGCCCTTTGGTTGCCTTGGAGCCTGGGGGGTGGGGGTGGGGGGTCCCCTTCTCCTAAGACACCGGCTGGAATGAGGAGTGTATGAGTTTGCTGGGGCTGCCATAACCATGTCCCACAGACGGGGTGACATAAGCAACAAACCTTTATTTCCTCACAGTTCCAGAGCTGTGCTCACCAGAAGCCTGAGGTCCAGGCGGCAGTCAGCCAGGTGGGTTTCTTCTGCGGCCTCTCTCCTTGGCTTGCAGAGGCCTGGCCTCCCCTCCCCTCCTCCACGGGCCCTCCCTCTGTGTGTGTCTGTGTCCTAATCTCTCTCTATAAGGGCACACTCCCATTGGAGATGGGCCCATCCTGATGAGCTCACTTTAACCTTAGGTCTGTAAGGGCCCCATCTCCAAGGGCAGCCACATTCTGAGGTCCTGGGGTCAGGGCTTCAACATAGGAACTTGGGGTGAGATACCATTCAGCCCATAACAAGGAGGAAAGCCTTCTTTTTTGGAAGGCAGGGAGAGGACCTGGATCCTGGATGGGGACCCAACAGCATCCGGGACTTGGGGAGAGACAGAAAGCACCAGGTAAGGAAACACATTCAGTCCAGAGAGTGAGACGTGTTTTTAAAGAAAATGAAACAGGGTATGGTGATCAGGGGCACTGCAGGGGGGCAGCAGCATCGGCAAGGGTGGCTGGACTGCCCGAGAAGAGGACCTGTGAGCCACCCCAAGGGAAGAGCTGAGCAAGGTGGGATGAGCTTGGTGGAGTCCAGGGGCAGAAAGGAGGCTGGCGCACATGGCAGCGTCCTCAGTGTGCATGGCAGCGCCCTCAGTGCGCGTGGCAGTGCCCTCAGTGTGAGCCAGGTGGGTTGAGGCTGAATGACTCAAGGCTCTGGGGGTCGGGCTGCACTCTAAGATCGCTGACACCTATCCCCTGGGCAGGGTCCAGCACTGGAGTGAGAGAGACGCAGGTGCCCAGAGCCCAGCGCCCAGCCCCACCTGGCATCCCTGCTGCTGGGCTAGGTGAGGAACACTCTCTTCTGCAATGGAGCCCGGGGGATGGGCAGGGAGGACACCTGGGTTTACGACGCAGAGATCTTAACAGAAACACGACTCAGCGACTGTGAAAGGCAGGCGCTGGCTTTCATACAAGGACCACTGCTCAGCCGCTGTACTCCTGTCTAGGTAAGCCAGGTATGCATGCCGTACAGCCTGTTTTCCCCTCAAAAGTCTATCTAAAAAGCTTCCTGGAGATAAAGAACTGGATGGGAACAATCTAATGCTTCACTTAAAGGTGGTCAGATTCAGAAAACTCAGCCCAAAACCATGTTCCACCAAGTCTTACTCTCTGGTCTGCAAGCCAGCAGACATCTCCGTGGCTTTGCCAGCGCTGGGTTTTGTTGGAAATCCTTCTGAGAGCGAGGATGCCCAGACGTGGCCTTTGCCATGAGACTTCCTCCAATCAGAACCCTTTAAGAGACAACTTCTCCAGGCATTGGTGCCAACCCTGCCAGTGGTCTCTTTCCCTCGATCTCTGACCCTGGTGAGCTTACAGCCCATTGGGCTTTGACTGTTTTCACTGTTGTCAAAGGTACCCCTTTGAGGCACAGGTGGGAGATCTCATCTCCCAACTTGAGTGCAAACCCTGTCCGTGCAGGGACTGTCTGCCCGGACAGAACACCCACAGAGCTGAGCACGGAGGAAAGGACGCGGAGTTTCTGGGAATCCACGGGAAGCGAGGTTTCACGGGACACTGGGCCCCACACAGAAGGCAGGAGTGGCCGTGTAAAAACGGCCCGAAGGCCCTTGGGAACGTCTCAATTCAAATCAACCCAACTCAGCGAGGACTCGCGGGCCCACGCCCACTTCCCTCGACTCAGTGGGGTTTATGACTTCGACCAACACGGTGCGGCACAGGTGACCCTGTGTGACTTCCCGGTGGTCATAAGGCCATGCAGCTTCTACCTTGTTTTCTGGACACTCATACTAGGAACCCTGAGCTGCTATGTCAGAAGTCCCACCCTCTGCGGCCACCAGGCTGTGAAGAAACTAACCCACGTGGAGAGCCCATGGAAAGGGGTCTGCTTGCCAGTCCTGTCTGCACGTTTCCCATCCAGGCAACAGGCAAGTGCGTGCATGACCCTTCAGGTCACCTGGCCCCCGACCAGGAGTGGTTGCCTCTGAGGGTTCCCAGCAGATGTTGTGGAGCAAGTGTGAACCATCTCCCTGCGCTCCATCGAGTTCCTGATGCATAGAGTCCCTGAGCGTAAAATAATTGTTTTAAGCTGCTAAGTTTGGGGATATTTTATCACAGCAGCAATAACCGAACGGAAAAGGAGGCTCTGTCCCTGCAGGTCCCCCAGGGCCTCATTCCCCTTCTTTTCCAAGTCAGCATCGTTGTGCCTGCATGAAGCTGCCTTTGCTTTGTGCACATGAACCCACTGTGGTCGCCCCGGGCCTCCTCATATCACCACTGCATTCCCACACTCCACGTTCTGAGCCACAGCCAAACACCAGGAGCCAGGATCTAACTGTCACCGCACAAGTTTACTGTGACTCTGCAGCGATATTTTGTTTTAAATGTATTTCCCTTTCTGTTTGCTTGTGTTGGAGGTGCTACACTTTGAAAAGAAGATGAGTTTGTTTTGCCCTGGCTGGTGTGGCTCCGTGGGTTGAGTGTCATCCCATGTACCAAAAGGTTACAGTTCGATTCCTGGTCAGGGTACATGCCTGGGTTGCAGGCTCACTCCCCAGTAGGAGGTGTGCAAGAGGCAGCCGATTGATGTTTTTCTCTCTCTTCTGCCCTCTTTCTTTAAAATCAATAAAAACATGTTTTTAAAATTTAGTTTAAAGAACAAGTAAATAAGGTGATTTTTAGAAGTTATCCAAAACCTAGCTAACTTTTCATTCTGAGGAGCCAGGGATCCCGTGGCTTGTCTCATTGCTACCTGGTGGCTGTGGACCGCCACTCAGGAGCCCAGTGCGAGCGGGTGGGCGGGCTGGCTGTAGAGCAGCCTCCATTTAGGCCTCTGTCCTTCTGGGGGTGCGGGGAGCTTTGTGCAGAAGTGAGAACCAGGGGTGCCCCTGGGCCTTATTTGATTCAGGAACATGACTCTCATGCATTGTTGTTGGGGAGAGAAAGTAGAACAGAATCCTTATGGGGGGAAAACTGGCCCCAGAGATACAAAAGCAAAAATACAGAAAGACAAATGCATATTGCTGCAATGTTTTTAATATGAAAGGACTGGGAACAACGCCAATGTCAATCAAGGGTGGCTGGTTGGATAAACACTGTCGTTACAACAGAGCACTTTATAGGAGAACGTTCTGTCAGGTGCTGTGGGGTGTTAATATACTCCATATATACGATTGAGGGGAAGAGTAGGACCAAGGAAAGTGTAAAGCAGCATGCTGTCCTTCACCATCTGCTTACAGTGTTTTAAGTGGAGGGGTAAAATGGGAAAAGATATTGATTATCTCTGGCAGAAAAGGCTACTAGGATGGAGGGAATATAAAATACAGACTTCTCTGAATACAGCACATGTTGTGAATTGGACTTTGGAACCATGTAAATAGTTTACCTAATTATAAAAAAAATTAAAATTAAAAAGCAGTCTCTAAAAATTTAAGCAAAACCAAGTGAATAACCATAACCCTAATTCAAATTTGGGGTATAACCACAGAGAGAGGAACTGTTCCGAGTTATTTTAAAACAGTAACTTGACTGGACATCCCTAACGGCATAGACCCTCGGACAATAAGAATTGCAAAAGAAGACTTTAACTGTTTTCAGTAATTATTTTTTGTGATACTTTTGGCATTGTCATTCTGAAGATTTAAGACAATGTGTAATTATTTTGGTAATTTTGAGAAGGATTTTTTAAATGAGAGAAAAAAGAGCAGGTATAAGGTCAATGAAGTTACATTAAAAACGCTACAGTCTTGACTTGAATTGGGAATACCAATATAAACTCATGTAGTGTTTTTCTCTTAAAAAACACACCTAAGAGTACATATTTCCTCGTTCTGTCCACAAAACCAAGAAACAATGACCAAACCACTACCGCTGAGCACCCCTAGCACCAGAGTTTGATCTCTAATTATCATTCCCCACCGAAAGGAACCAGAGTCCCAGGGGAGATGGATGACTTCAGGGCTGTGGCACAGAAGAGACTAGATGAGCTTGAAACATCTTGTCAAGATCATTACAAAACTATCAAAGAGCACCAGGGTCGTGTCACAAGGAATCAGCCACCTTGAAGCAGTTCCCAAGCCAGAGCAGCACCATCTGAGCAACAGGAAGACTGAAACTGCAATGCATTGACGCCATGAGTTTATCACCGACTCAGCATACAAGACACTTCTCGCTTTCTCCACCTGGGACACTCACAAAGAAGAAACAGTCAAGGAATTTGCCTGCCTTTCCTATACAGACCAAACCTCAGGACAACTAAATAATTGATGAAAAGAGGTTTCTCTTTACAAAGTGTGCCAGCTAGCAATACAAAATAAACAACAGCACCAGAATATTATTTGCAATGCCTAATGGAGTCATGGATCTGTCAATAAACATCAATGGCTGCTAACATCAGGAAAGAAGAGTCAACAAGAGTTTCTATAGCTCCCACTGGAAGTAATCTTGCAAAACTAAAAAAGCAGTCTTACAAAACTAAACCTAACAGGACCCTGGTTAAGTCTCTCTCTATAAACATCTCTATATATAAAAGCCTAAGCAACTGTCATGACTGGTCGACCATAGACGCTCAACACAGGGGCTGCCCCCTGGTGGTCAGTGTGCTCCCACATGCTAGCCAACCTCTCGTAGTCCCTCCCTCCCCCCACCCCCCACCCCTGGCCGTTCATGCACCAGGCCTCTAGTTGATATATAAAAAACAGAGAGGACAGAGGAACACGTTAAAAGACGTAACAGAGATGCATCCAAGAAAACCCAGACTGTGAGAAATTCTACAGGACAAATGACCCAGTCCACTGTCTTCTAATAGGCCTCCAGGTTCTCCAAACATATGCTAAGATGTACAGATGAAAGGAGACTAAGGAGGCATATCCACAAATTATAAATCATGGACCCAATTCAAAGAAACAGAAAATCATGGGCCATTCAGAAATATTTGAAGGCATTAAGGAAGTATTGCTAACTTTTAGGTATGACTGGAATTGAAGTTGTGCTTTGTTAAAAGTACGTAGGGTTTAGAAATACATGCTGGAATGCTTACAGATGAAATGCTACGAGTGATGTCCAGGGTCTGCCTCAGAATCGTCATGGGGGGGCGGGGGAGGGGCGGGCGGGGTGAGAGTAGAGATGGAAGAGACTGACTGTGTGTTAATCACTGAGGCTGGTGATTCGGACATGGGCTCATGACATGACATGCTTCTGTACGTATTTGCAACTGTGCATGATACAAAGTTTAAAAACCCCACTGCCAAATACTAGGAAACGAGGTCTCTTGGAAAGGGGTACAAATTAATGCTGGAACTGTTAGCTACTCTGGCCTGGCACAGGTTGTGAAGGGACAAAGGAGAGTTGGCTTCCACAGGGAATGTGAGGTGAGAGAGAAGAGAGAACGTCAGGCGTTACCCCCGGAGAAGGCCCAGGCATGATCCACAGGGGGGCCCGAGCAGCCATCACCTATGTGATTCTGCGAGGGCAGATCTCGGGATGCAAACCACTGCTTTAGACCGGCCTGTGTGGCATCCCAGTCATCAGGTCATCGTCACACAGTGCAGGTCGGGAGCGTCCGGTCCTGGGGAGCCTCCACGCGCCTCACCTGCACCCACCCCCGCCCTGGCAAGGAACAGGAGCACACCGCGGTGACGCCTCAATTTCAGGAATGTGGCCAGGCCCTTGGGCTCTCCCACCTGGCGTGTCGCCCAGGGGCCTTCAGGCTTCTGACCTGTCACAGCACCACTTGGAAAATACAAAGCTTGGATTACAGTTTCAATAGTTCTTGTAACAACCTGGGAGGCAGATCTGCAGGCCCTGGCTCTGCTGTGGCAGAGATGACAGCTAAACCCATGGGAGGAGAAAAACATCACTCACTCTTCGTCTGACAAATGAAGACAAGGATAGTGTCCCAGAAACATCCTGATGTGGGATGGACCACTCACCTGGCAACATACGTCCTCTGGCTCCATCTCAGACCAAGGCAAATACAAAGTGTTTTTGAATAACGCACCTGTGATGAAATCTCACCTAGATTAACGTGTATTTGGATATTGTAACCTCCTCAGAGCTCAACCAACTTCTAAGTTTTAAACTGAATGGTGTCTCCCACCCTATCCTGCCCCACGCCCCGCCCCCTAGCCGGCCACTGGAGGGCATCTCCCCCTGGCTCTTTCATCAGAAGCAGAAGGCCTGGGACCAATGGAATTCAAGCACCTTCTTAAACTCCCCACAGCCAGGTGTTGCTGACCCATCTCCCATGTGTCCAGGCCAGATTTCCCCTGGGGGAGCAACCCCACATTCACCTGTGTGTTCTTTCTAAGTCATTCATCTTAGTGGGTGCGACCGGACAGAGAGAGAGCTAGAGGTTCCCTCCTACAAGGAACGGGGCCAGCTCATGTTCAGGGGCAGGCCAGGTGAGCAGGAGAAGCAAAAGCCTTTACTTACTCAGTTAGAAAACCAGGTTATGTTTTGAGATAGGATTTCTCAAAAGGAATTAATTCAGGCAGAATCTACTCTTTAATGGTGGTCTCTTGGTCTAGAAGAATCAGTATGGGGGTCCCGGGCCCTGCATCCCTCTCTGGTGAGAAAGCTGTCAGGCATGTCACAGAGGGGACACAGACAACAGCAGAACACTGGGTTGTGGCCGAGGACCCACCCTGTGCCACGCACACAGGGCACAGTTTGACCCTCAGCGTGACTGTCATAATTCAGGACTCGCAACCACCTCAGATAGACATGAGCCTCCCCTCCCCAGCTAGTTCAGACTCACAGTGCCATTCACACAGCATTTTCAAAAGCTGCCCATTCCCCTGGAAAAGAGATTTCAGAAAATTAGTGCATAATCAAAGGGAACAACCTTAAAGCAGAAAACAGAAGCGATGGCAGCAGTTTGGATTTTGTGGTTGCCCTTCTGTGCAACTCTGTGGGCCAGCGTGCAGCACTGCCCGGGACACCTGGTGCATAGGCAGGTGAGCAGGTGGGCAGTGGGGCCAGTGTCTCGCAGTCATGCCCACAGCCGAGGCTTTGAAGAGACATGAGCCCAGATCTCCACAGCCCGTGCTCAAGCACCCTTAGAAGTCATACGGGGACACAAAGATGGTGACCTTGGACACGTGGTTGGCCTGGAAGGAGCGGTCTAGGTATTCTGACATGTCAACGTCCACCTCCAGTGTCTGCGGCCCCTCCAGGGGCTGGACGAGGATCAGCTCCCCTGTCTGGCGGTCTGCACGCTGCATCACGAAGTGGCCGCGGCTGTTCCCACCGACGATGCCAAACCGCAGGCTGTTGGGTCCGGGTCGGCCGGGCACCGAGGCCATGGCCATGCGGAAGAGTGTGATGGGCGTTGTCAGGTTGGAGGGCAGGGACAGGTAGTGGAAGGAGATAGTCTTGGGCAGGTGGTGGCAGGGCCTGCTGTCCATGGGGCAGGGGTTTCGCTCACATTGACTGGATCAGAGAGGCAAGATGTAGGCAGTCAGCCTCGGGGAGACACAGGGGGGCTGCCCTGGCCTGGCCTGGCCCCTGCCTGCCCTCTTGCCAAGGCCATTGGAGTGACCTCTCCCAGCCACTGGGCCCCTCACCACAGGTGCCTGGAGCTACAGGCAAGTGAGTGTGGCTGGCGTCAAGGTGGCCAAGGAAGAGGCACTCCCCTAACCCACTTGTGTATGCATGTGTGTGTTCCTGTGTGTGTATGCATGTGTGTTCCTGTGTGTGCGTGCATGTGTGTGTCCCTGTGTGTATGCATGTGCGTGTTCCTGTGTGTGTGCATGTGTTCCTGTGTGTGTTCCTGTGTGTGTTCCTGTGTGTATGCATGTGCATGTTCCTGTGTGTGTATGCATGTGCACGTTCCTGTGTGTATGCATGTGTGTGTTCCTGTGTGTATGCATGTGTGTTCCTGTGTGTGTGTGTGTGTGTGTGTGTGTGTGTGTTCCTGTGTGTATATGCATGTGTGTTCCGGTGTGCGTATGCATGTGCATGTTCCTGTGTGTGTATGCATGTGCGTGTTCCTGTGCATGTGCATGTGTGTGCATTGTGTGTAGGGGGGTGCGTGGATGCTATTACTATAGCTGTTCCAGAAAAATAAAGCCAGGGAAGATTCAATAGCAATGGTGATGCTGTATTCAGACCAGGCACCCTCTGCACGTGCTGAGACCTCCATCTAAGGTGGGGACCCAGGCAGGTAGCCGGCGGCCTCCTAGGACATGGCGCTCCCCACTGCTGGACTTCCTACATCTCCAAGGGTTATTCACTCCTAAAGCAGGAAACCCTGTCTGCCTTAACCATTCGGGGCCAGGGTCCGGAGGAAGGCTGACATTTCCCACATAAACACAGACGCAGGTGAGCTAATTCGGTGAGTCTCATCATCCTGGGAATTGATGCAGGTTGAATACTATGTCCGGCTGCTAATTGGGGATGTCCCCAGGGCTAAGATGTGTAGGTCCCTCTGCCCTTCACTCTCACCAACAGCTGCCACGCTCAGGGCCTGCCTTCCTCAGGGCTCCCACTCGCCTGTAGCTCCCAAAGCACTTCAAGGATCTAAGCTGGGGAACTGGGTTCGTTCTACGACAATGCTAGAGCCCTTGGGATCTTTTTAGAAGAAAATGCACGAACTTTGTCGTGGTTGTAGTCATTCTCCTTAAAGGCCTGTCTCCCGTCTTTCAAAAAGAAAAAGCTCTATGAAAGTGCTAGGCCCCAGGAGCCCTTCTAGCGCCACGGAAAAGCCGGGGAGACAGGTTGGCAGAGTGTGCGGGATGTGCTGTGTGAGCAGGAGAAGGTGGTCCTCCCCCACATCAGTGTGATGGACACTTCCTGCTGGCCACATCCCCCGGCGTCCTTCCCTCCCTGAAGTGCAGCCCCAGGAGGCTAAGTGCCCTCACCCTCCGTGTCCGCAGGCAGCCCTGGGAAATGACTTCTCTAGGGCAAATTGGGTTCTGACTGCACAGAGCAGTGATGCATGTTCTGCAACCACTAACGGGACACAGGAGCTCGGAGAACCCAGACTCCCCGCTCCCCGCTGATCATCTTTCCTCGGATGAACTGCACCATCTCCCAAGACCACTGGGAAAACCCAGCCCGGCCATCTGGGATACTCACAAGGGAGAAGTCTTCACGTAGCTCACGTTGCCGCTGCCCTCCGGGCACTCGGGGCTGACACACTGGAAGCCTCCACCCGTGTTGATGCATGTGGTCCCCCGGGGACACAGGTGCTGTGAGCTCACGCACTCGTCGATATCTGGAAGACGGGCACCGAGTCAGGGTGGAGATCGCCGACGCCCCCTCCATCGCTGACAGGGCCACTGGGGTGTGGTGTCCCACACGTTTCAAGCTTTCCGAACGTTCATGCTGTTTCTTAGAGTGGGGAACTCTCCTCCTGGGATCCTGTCCTCCCTCCTGGGTGTGACAGCTTACAGGAGGCTGGACAGCACAAAAAAGTGCTCCTGCCACCATGCTTCTCTCAGACCTGCCTCCTCAGCCAAGGTGCCCTGCCGTCTCCCCTCCAGGGCTGTTATCATGCCCTGTATGATCAAATCATTGAAAGCCTCACCCCATGCCCAAAGCAGATGGCCTCACTCTCCTCTGTATGAGTTCTCTGCTTCCTTCACAGGTGAGTTTCCCCGCTGAAGTGTTTCTTCCTAACCCCACACAAACACTGTAGGACGGACAGATGGATGAACAAATGAATGAGAGATGGATGGGTGGATGGATGGATGGATGAGAAAGATGAATGGATGGATGGATAGAAGAGATGGATAGATGGAGGAGACAGATGGAGATGGGTGAGAGAGATGGAGGAGATAGATGGAGATGGGAATGATGGGTGGATGCACAGATGATGGCTCTCTGGATACCTTCTCCTACACCAACCCCAGGTTACCATTTCTCTGAGTCCTGCAGTGGAACCTCAATAGGATGTCACTGGGGAGCCACCTCCTCTCGGTTTCCACAGCCTATGGAGCCTTCTGCCCTCTCTCCTCCTCCTTCTCCCCCAGCAGCTCAGAGCCACAGTCCAGGACCAGCTGGGTTCTCTTCTGTGTCCTGTCTCCATGGGTGACAGCTGAGGAACACGGATTTGTCCCTCCTCTAATGCGAGGCAGGCCTGGGTTAGCAGACCCAGTTTTCTGCAACCCAGAGACCTGCTATAGCATCGGGGTTCCAGGGCTGAGATGTGGGGTGATCGCACTACGGCATAGTGGCTGTAAGGTGCTTCCCTTTCAGACGGAGATGCAGGCCTGCACCAGCCATGGAGAAGGCAAGTTACGCCCGGAGCCTCATGTCTCCTCCAGATTGAAGGGCACGGGGACCAACTGGCTGCTCTTCCTTTGGGTCCTACCCTGGCTAAAGGAATCGTGAAGGGGAGGACATGGCCTGACCTTGCGAGCAGTTACTTGCAGAAGGTCGGAAGAGACTATTTGCCAGGATGGCTAAGCAACTTGCTTTCCTATTTATGGTGATGCCAATGCAGCCTGATGAGAGGTCCTTCTGTTGGTGGTCTTTTTGTTCTTGTTTATTGATTTCAGAGAGAGGGAGGGAGAGGGAGAGATAGAAACATTAATGAGAGAGAATCACTGATCAGCTGTCTCCTGCACGCCCCCTACTGGGGATCCAACTGCAACCCGGGCATGTGCATTGATTGAGAATCAAACTGTTTATGGGTCGATGCTCAACCACTGAGCCACACCTGCCAGGCTGTTGGTGTTTTGTTGTTTTTTTAAAAAAATATATTTGTATTGATTTCAGAGAGGAAGGGAGAGGGAGAGAGATAGAAACATCAATGATGAGAGAAAATCATTGATCACTGTTTCCTGCACGCCCCCCACCCCCACCCGACTGGCGATTGAGCCTGCAACCTGTGCATGTGTCCTTGATTGGAATCACACCCAGGACCCTTCAGTCCACAAGCCGACGCTCTATCCACTGAGCCACACCGGCCCGGCTGTTGGTGGATTTTTATTTTTGATTTATTTTTTAATTGATTTTTTACAGGGAGGAGGGGAGAGGGATAGAGAGTTAGAAACATCGATGAGAGAGAAACATCGATCAGCTGCCTCCTGCACACTCCCCACTGGGGATGTGCCTGCAACCAAGGTACATGCTCTTGACCAGAATCGAACCCGGGACCCTTCAGTCCGCAGGCCGACGCGCTATCCACTGAGCCAAACCGGTCAGGGCTGTTGGTGGATTTTTAAAGACTGAGTATATCTGAAACTTTGACCCTGGAACATCCACTGCATCCCATTCCGGAGTCCTGGCAGGTCACAGGAGCAGCAGTGACCAGGTGCGGAGAGCCCCTCTCAGCCCCGCAGCACCTGCCTCATGCAGGTCCACTCACCCTCACAGCTCTTCCTGTCGGGCAGGGTCCGGTACCCGCTGGGGCAGGCACAGCGGTAGGAGCCAGGTGTGTTCACACAGGTGTGCATGCAGAGCCGGGGGCGCCCCTCCTGCCCGTAGAGCTCACACTCATTCACATCTGGGAACAGAAGTGCCTGGGATAACTTGGGGGGCCATGAAGTCAGCCTTTTCCCCAGCAGAGCATGGGAAAGCGGGGGCGGGAGGCGGGGGGCACTCCCATTCTGCGGAGCCAAGGGCCAGAGGGCATAGGGAGGAGGGCGGGAGCTGACCAGACAGATTCCAAGGCTCCTCCATCTAAGGCTGAAGACCCTGGAAAGGGAGACCCCACAGAGGCTGGCCAAGCAGGCCCCCAGGGCAGCCCAGAGAGCCAGTGCCTGCTGCACCCCAGACTCCCGGCCTACTTTGCGGCCCCCTCTTTGGGTCTTGTTTCTGCTGCAGTAAAAGGAGGGTGTTGGCACCAACTGACCGATTCTCAGGTCTGGACCACTGGCCTGAGTTGTTTTCAGAAGGAGCTTTGGTGGGCAAGATGGTCCCTAGAAGTGGCCTTGTCCATACAGCTAAGCCCAGAGGGGCAGGGAGGAGCCTCGGGCACGTGCCCAGCTCCGAACCCCCACCCCCACCCCTACCCCTGTGATTCCAGCCACCATGCAGGGACAAGGGGCTCAAGGCCACGCTCTGCCTGGGGGTGAGCCTGGGACCCCTGGCTACTTGCTCATGGCAGCCCTCGCCTCCTGCCATGTCTAGGTGTTAGCTCCTTCTCAGCAGCCACCAGGTCAGCAGGAACCGAAAACCACTGGGGCTGGGATCCCTGAGGCCACGCTCCTCCTTTGCTCTCTGGGTGGGGACTGGGTGCGCCCATAGGTGGGAGGGCGGTGGTGGTGCCCCTTCCCTCCTGCGTCCCCCCTGCTGTGCCCGTCTGGCAGGTGGGCACCCCGTTGTGTCCCCCCCCCCACTTCAAGTCCCCTCTCCGCGCACCCGCCTACCTACCCTGGCAGACGCTGTCGCCGCCCGTGCCGCTCAGCTGGAAACCCGCCTCGCAGCTGCAGTGCCGGGTCCTCTCCACCTGCGCGCAGCGGGGCGCGCGGCTGAAGGCGGGGTCGTCGGCCTGGCGCTCGGGGGCGGCTGCAGGGAGAAGACGAGTCAGAGCCGCCCCGCTGTCCCGCGGACCTCGGGAAAGGCCGAGGAGCTCGAAGGAGAGCTCACTCTGCAGGCGGAGGGAGGAGGAGGGAGGGGGAGTCACCAAAACCCCCGCAGACGGCCCACCCCGCGGACGGCACACGCGCTGCACCGAGGCCAGGCGGAGGGCGAGGCGAAACCGCCTCTTCGTTCAGAAAGGCGTGGCACACACCCGGCGCCCACAGCCCAGCCGGCACCGCAGTTCGCATCCACTTCTGGAGGGTTCTTTTGTGCTGTATTCTTTTTCTTTTCTACGTTTTTCTTTTTGTTTTTGAACCAAGAACAGAAACCAACTTTCTAATCAGAAAAAAGTGTTCGTTTTTGGAAGTTGTCGAAGGTTGGGGGAGGCTGTAGGAATGGGGGTGAGAGTAAGGGGATGCACAACAGGACACAGGCTGTGGGGTTCCTGCCACGTAATGGTCCCGAGAGGAGTCGGATTCAGCCAGAAGCAGCAGGGTTGCCAGGGGAGGTGCTGGGCGCAGAGTCTCAGCTCTGACACGTGAAAAGGCTGAGGGGCTGGGTGGCTGCAGGACAACGTGAACGCACTTAGTGCCACTGAACCTGCCACCAAACCCTACACTTAAAATGGCAACCTTTATGTTGTTTGCATTTCACCACGACAGAAAAAGCAGGTGACTGGGTTTAAGAAAAAGCACTGAGCGGGAGACTCCCCCCACGGGGCTGACAGACAGGTGAGTAAGGTCCCGGGCGTCTGCTAGAGGGTCCATGATGCTGTGAGGAGCTGGCTTTGGTGCACCCGTCACGCCCTCCTTCCCTTCCTGGGTGGGGGGTCCCCATCATGGGATACTTTATACATGAAGTGCCCCCGGGCCTGAGGAACAGCTGCCTAGAGGTCCTGATGGCAGAAGCCGTCAGCCTCCAGGACCAGCACATTCCGGTTGCGAGGGGCCCATTTCCTTTTCTGTCCTGTTTGTAAGGAGAGGCAGTGGGGCTGCCCAGAAGGGCCTGCCTCCCACCTCCATTTGACAGAGCAGCTTCCTGGAGACCAGCTGGAGGGGCTCAGGGCTCCTGGCAGGGCAGCCTCGTCCTGAGAAAACTCCCAGCAGGCTGGATGGAATCAGGACACGTAAAGCAGCAAATTTCTGGGGGCAACACTTACAGGTGGCCTTGGACTGAGTCCAGTGCAAGGACACTGAGTCTTGACAAAGCTCCTATTCTCCGGATACTGTGCCAACCGCCCGATCCTCCCCCCACACTGAGATGCCACACAGAAATCACACAGGACGTGCCAGGTTTTGGGGGCAAAGGAGCAGGATATACTTAGGATCTGACCTATTTATGTCATTTTGGTTGCACCGCAGTGTGGGAACCCCATCCACCCCTATCGGTTCCGTAGTGCATTTTCCTGCCATCTGCACGGCAGCCACTGTGTGTCTCCCAGGCCTTCTGGCTGGCGAATATGCGGGGACTCTGTGCAGACAACCTCCCCACCACTCAGATGAATAGTCGCCCAGCTCTAAAGACGCCTGGCCTCTAACAGCAGCCGCGGACTTGCAGGTGTGATGGGATAGGAAGTCACTCTGTAGGTCTGCAGGGGAAACAATGACACGTGAAGGTGGCCGCAAGGAAACAGCTCAGCCCAGCCCCAACCTGGGGACTTTTCAGGCTGTGAATCGGTCCTTCCACTTGAATTTTCTTCCATAAAAGGGTTCAAAACTCGGGTTACACAAAAGAGCTAAACTCCGTCCCTAGTACCTGCCTCGGTGCGTCTGGCGGCCCCTGACCAGGGTTCCCTGGCAGCAGATGTCCTCGCCCAGCCCCACACGGCCACGTACCAGTCTGGGCCTGGTGCTGGCAGCGGCTCCCGGTCCTTCCTGGAGGGCAGATGCACGTGTACTGGTTGACTCCTTCTAAGCACGTCCCGCCATGCTGGCAAGGCTGGCTGGCGCACTCGCTGATATCTAGGAAGATAAATCATTTTCAATCACAAGTCTGAGTTCTGATTCAAAAACAAACAAACAAAACACAAGATGGATGAACCGTCTTTACGTTGCATTTTGCCTCGGGCCTCTGCCTCCCCCTCTGTCCTTGCCACCACCTGCTGCAGGAGCTCAGATGCAGCCCACCCTCCCTCTGCAGGCTACGTGCCTGCCAGCCTGGAGCTCTGCTGGTGGGTATAGCCCGTCACCTGCCCCTGTCAGCCAGCTCCCAGATAGAACTGCCCCCAACGCTGCCCATCAGCCAGCTCCTAGGTAGAACACCGTTAGGACAGGAACTTGGTTTGGGGGAGTTATAAGAGGAAGGGAGGGATGGCCCATGGAATGTACAGAAATGGGGAAATGCACTTTCCAATCCCACCTAGAAGCCCTCCCGTCAGTTCTCCTGACCCTTGACCTCTCCTTAATGCTGGAAAAGGAAACGGTTCCTTGTTCATCTACGCACAGTCTGGTGGAAAAGCTCCATAGAGAGATGTATGTTTAACAGTGCAATAGGTTTTCCTCTGTTGGTAGTTTTTCTTATTTACACTGTGTTTCCACAATGAACATTTGTAAATTTCCAAATCAGGGGGGGAAAATGATATTTTGAAACCCTCAGGCCCCATCTGCGTGTTGTGAATCCCGTAAGCCCAGTTTCGGTGGTGGTGTTCGGGCACCAGGGGCAGGTCTGGGGTTCCCGGGCTGACCACCGCGTCCTGGGGACGGTCCGAAACGCCCTGAGAGGCACCTGAGCATCCTTCCCTGCCATGTCCTTTGAGAGGAAAGGAAGGTCTTCGCTCCTGATGAGAGCTGCAGCCTTGTGGGGCGGGTTGGCCTCCTTGTGACTGGGGTGTTGTGTAGACTGTGACATGGTTTGTCTCCATCACGGAAGGACCCAGACCATCCAGATGCTGGGAGAAGCCATTTCAACTTCTCAGCGACCTCAACCTGGCTGTCCTCCCCGCACAGGCTCTGTTTTCAGATGAGGGGTTTCCAGGAATGTGCCTGGAGCCACACTGCACACAAAGCCACGGGCTCAGAGCTCCCGTTTCTACCTGTTGTCCAGCCCATCGGTTCTCACCAGCAACGTCTGAAAGCAGCAGACCTCGAGGCCATGAGGTCATGGGCACAGAGCCAGGATTTGAACACGGGCGTCTTTCATTCTGGCCCCGGCGGGACCAGCGCCATGGCCTGTCCCCGGCCAGGCCTCCAGCAGGAGGCACCGAGCCCGGTCGCACCTGGACAATGGGGTGCAGGTGGGGTGGCGACTGTACCCAGGTGCCCCAGGTTTTCATTTCTAGACAGGACCCACACAGACTCTTATCTTGATCCACTCTTGGAGGCGTGCCATGGCGTGCCATCTAGGTCCCGACTGAAGTTCCGCTGTCATCACATCGTGCCTGTCCCAGGCAGGGGCACTTCGTTAAGTGCATGGAGACTTCACAGCTGCAAAGGGGGCACTGGAGAAGCTGTGGAGAGGCTGGGAAGGCAAAGGCACTGTGATGAGCCCTGGTCACGTGGCTCAGTGGGTTGGGCATCGTCCCATTGACCAGAGGGTTGCGAGTTCAATTTCAGGTCAAGGCACATACCTAGGTTGCAGGTTCGATTCCCGGTCACGGTGGGTGCAGGAAGCAACCGATCGATGTTTCCCTCTCACATCAATGTTTCTCTCTTTCTCTCGAATATGAATAAAAACATATCCATGGGTGAGGATCAAAAAGCAAAAAGCACTGTGATGATTCTGTTGCCCAACTTACTGTGAAGTGAGCACTTACTGTGTCCCTGGACCTGAGCTGTGTTTCACACGCATGATCTGACCTCTTGTCCCTTTATTTCTCATTCTTTCCTGTGTTCTGTCATCTAGTTTCAAACTTCCAATTTCTCCCATCACCTCGTTTCTGAGGTTTTCTAATTTTTAATGAATGCCGTCCTTTCACCGTTTTTATCTTTTTAAAATTTCTTGCTGCTTGTTCGGAAATATTAGTCATAGCTTTCATCAGTTCTGTGGGCATGTCTTTCTGGCATTTCTCCATTGGCTGTCGACTTTACTCTCTGTTTTCCTACCATAATTTGTATGGGCTTGACAAGTCCTTTCCTATGACTCATCCTCAGGGCAGTAAGTTTTCCTGTGGAGCTTTGCGAGCACCCTCACTCCAGGTCACAGGCCCGTTGTTTTCCGCGTTGGACACTTGCTCAGCTCTGCCCTGTCAATCCCCCCCACTCTTGTCTGGACCATCCCTTCCATCTGCACCGATTTTCCTTGTTGGGCTCCACTTGGATTCTCCTCCCGCAGAGGCTCCACCATATCGGGGCCTGTCCCGGAACGCCCTGTGCGTTGCCAGTGGCCAGACTGCTCCAGAGGCAGAGACTCCCGCTGGCACACACGAGCCCACACCCGAGGGACCTGGCCCAGGAAGGCCAGTAACAGGCTACCGTGCGTTCAAGAGATTTCTCAGTCATGATGGCAACAACAGCATCGCGAAAACAGAAGACACAGAGGAACATAATGAAGGTGCTCAAGGAGAGGAATCTCACGGGTGTTTTATGTCCCATTGAAATGACACCTGATGGAAAGCTGCACCTTTGGGGAACGTTGGAGAACTCAGGGAATTGCCCTGAGGAGGGACCAAACGGGGAGATGACTGCATGAGGACGGCGACGTCACCAAGGGGCAGCGTCACTGGAGGTAGAGGACCACGACGGGGACTCCCCAACAGATGTCTAGAGTGCTGTCCGGCCCAAACAAAACAAAACTCTGCCCTGAGCTGGCCAGGCCGCTGGAGTTTCCTCCCGGTTTATAAGGGATACAGAGACAAAGGTGCAAACGCCCAGTTATAAGTAAGTGCTAAGGTGCAAACGCCCAGTTATAGTAAGTGCCAAGCCTGGCGGCTGTAGCTGCAAGGCTGTAGGACACACAGGAAAGTGGTGAGGAGAGTAAACCCTAAGAGCGCTCATCACCAGGGAAAAAACCTTTTGTTCTTTTCTTTGTCTCTATAGGAGATGATGGAAATCTCTCAGGGTCAAGGGAAATCCAGATGCAGGTCCCCTGTGTGTCCGCCTGTGACACCCCTTGCATTTCCTGGCTAGCTGCTGACTGGTCTGAGAGCTGGTACCTGTAATCCCCCTGCAAACCGTGTTCTTCCCAGGAGCTGGGAACCCAAGCCTGGACCCACGAGTGTGGCGCTGCTGCCTGTGCTTCTCAGGCCAACCCTCCCGTCGGGAGAGATGGTGCATTGCTGACGCTCCTGTATGTTTGCGAGCTACTCACGCGTTCAGATGCTGTTCTTCAAAACCTACTTGTTCATGTCCTATTTGCGTTTCCCCTGCACTTCCTGGGCTACAATCATGGACATTCTGCCCCGGCAGATGTGCTCTGAGCCTGGCCCTGAAAATGACTGGTATGCATGAAGATTGGGCCATACATTTTTTAAAAGCCAACACGTGATGCGTGCCAAGTCTGATTTCTCTCAGCATCAAAGAAGTACTGTTTTCAAGCCCAACAGAGAGAAGAGAAGGCTTTCATGCCTCCCTCTTACCCAGCGGTCTCCCCAGAGCCGGTCACACCAAGTCCCACATCAGATACAAAGGACACCTGAGGGACTTCTTCAACCCACAGGCCACCCGCAGCCTCACAAGCAAACGGCAGCCCAGAGCGAACGAGACAAGAGGAGCATTTCTGTGCAGCGTCTCCCGCTTGTCCTTCCCCACAACCCCCAGAAGGCGTCTTGGCCCTGTTGGTAAGAGCAGAGTGAGGTGCTGAGGAACCGACGCTGGGGTCAGAGTGTCTGCGCGTGGATCAGCTCAGCCTGTCCCCCGGCGCTGTGGTCTTGGGCATTCTGTGCTTCAATTTCCCCATATGCAAAACAAGACTAAATTGTAGGGAGGATTTAGAGAGCTCGGACAGGTGGCGCTAAGTCATCAGACACTGTGCCCACTTTCCTGCGGTTGAAAATGGTGGAGGCATCAGGTGGAAAGGGTCCTGAGGAATGAGCCTTCCTCCCCAGCAGGCCCCAGCCCCGGGGACCGTTAGGAGGGACCGACCTCTGCAGTGGGGCTGCTCCCCAGTCCAGGTGCCGTTGGGAAGACACACCACACTGCTAGGCCCCACCAGATGGAACCCGGGGTCGCAGGTAAAATGGACTTCGTGATCCACTAAGTACTTGCTTCCAAACTTCCTGCCGTCTCGAGGGGCGTTCAGAGCGGGGCAGGAAACTGTAGGAGAAAAGGAAGGACCGCAGAGAGTTAGACATCACCATCCACTACCAGGCTCCTCTGAGTGCCTCCTCCAGGCTGTGCACCAGGCTGGACCTCTTAAATGTCTCATCAACTCCTCTGAGCTCATGTGGCCAGAGGGGAGGACTGCCCACTCAGTGGAAGATGAGGACTGCGGCTCAGAGACGCCGAGTGCTGTGCGTGGGCCTGGCCGCGTGGGAAGCTCAGGGTGGGATTCCCCACAGCCGTGCTGACACCTGACACTCTCGGAGCTTCAGGCAGGGCTTGGCCTACGTCCAGGCCTTGGCGTCTGCTCTTCTCTCTGCCTGGGATGTTCTTTCCACAGAACGTCCCATCTCTGGCTCCTTCTCACTCACATGGGCCTCTGCTTGAATGCAACCCCCTCCCAGAATGTTCTCTGACCACCACGCTTCGCTCAAACCTCCCAGGGCACCTGTTATGCTGTGAGCTCCCTGCACTTCCCTCCTAGATGTGTGACCACTGGAGGCCTCTTACCGCTGAGTTTGTTTCCACATCTGTTGTCACTTTTCTCCCCAGGAAGCAGCTCAAGGGAGGACTATGCTTGGCCTGAGTCCCTGCTGCATGCCCAGCCCCGCCCAGCCCAGCGCCCGCCCCACAGTGAGCACCCAATACCTAATCCTTGAACACACGAGTAAATGAAAAATTACCTACTGTGTTCTTACTATGTGCCAGGCACTAGATAGGCCCTTGGGAGAATCAGCGAACAAAACCCTGCTCTCTGAAGCCCTTCCTAGCAGGGGAGAGATTATGGATAACCCAGACCACGAGCAAGCGGCAGAGTGAGGGGAGAGCGGAGAGTGCCATGCAGGAGATAGAGCAGGGAATCCTGGGGGCTGCACGGTGAGGGGGGAAGTCGTGAATGTGGTGGTCAGAGGAGGCCTCACTGGAGCCAAGAGTTGAAGACGATGGAGGCATAACCACGCAGAATCCAGGACAGAGGGGACGTGCCGGTGCCTGGCAGGCCTGAGGAATGTGAAGGGGACCACTGTCAAGAGGGAAAGGAGTGGGGTCTCTTTGGGGTGAAAAATCTTTAAAAACCTCAAAGAAAGGAAAACCAACTGCTGGAGCAACTCACAGGTTAACCAGACCTGCATAGGTGGAATAGTGTCTGGCACACAGTAGGTGCTCAGTAAATGTTAGTGGAATGAAAGAATGGATGCAGATCAATGAAAAATCGATTTGCAGCCCAGGCGGCATGGCTCAGTGGGCGAGCATCAACCCAGGAATCAGGAGGTCAGGGTTTGATTCCCGGTCAGGGCACGTGCCCAGGTTGTGGGCTCGGTGATTCTCTCTCATCATTGATGTTTCTATCTATTCTCTCCCTTCCTCTCTCTCTCTCTCTAAAAACAAAACAAAACAAAATCAACCAATTAAGAACATATTAAAAATGTTTAATAAAAAAATCAATTTGCAGCAATGATCCAGTCAAAAAGCTGGACAAAATATTTACTTAAATCTTCTTAAAAGCATCAAGTAGGTATAAAAATAGTGACAAGAAATTAATCTGTGAAGAAATTTGGGAGGGTGACAGCAGCATTTATGCTGCTTTTGCCCCGGGGTGGGAGTAAATGAGAGAAAAATCCATGTGCAGTCACTTCCCCAGTGTGAGCCAGCAGCCTCTGTTCAGTGGACGAGGTGCCCTGTGGATGGTGTGCCCATGGCTGGCTCACTTCACTCCGAGCCCGTCCCAGTGAGTCTGCAGCCACAGGGGCGTCCCCTGCTGCTTCCACAATAAGCTTCATGTGCAGGAGTGAGGTCGGGGGGAGCCACCCGGGCGATGGATGTGGATGGGATGAGGCTGCCTGGGCAGGCCCTGACGCCGACGCCGACAGGCTGTGATGCTCACAGGAAAGAACGGCTGGGAAAGCAGCAGGGAGATACTTAGGACAGAAGCCAAAGAGGAAGACCTAGGAGTCCTCAGGACTAGAAATTATTCTTCCCGACTCCCCCCAAATGCCCTTTAAAACAGCAAATTTCCCACTACCTGCTCTTTGACTTGGGGCAAGCGTCTGGCTCCCATGGCCCAGGTGCAGTCACCCCACCCCGAGGTGGGGGTCCTGACAGCTGCCAGACCCCATGCCCACACACAGAAGAGGTAGAATGCACGGTGGCATTTTTTTTAAAAAAAGAGAATGGCCTAACTGGTTTGGCTCAGTGGATAGAGCATCGGCCTACAGACTCAAGGGTCCCAGGTTCGATTCCGGTCAAGGCCATGTACCTGGGTTGTGGGCACATCCCCAGTCGGAGGTGTGCAGGAGGCAGCTGGCCGATGTTTCTCTCTCATCGATGTTTCTAACTCTCTATTCCTCTCCCTTCCTCTCTGTAAAAAAATCAATAAAATATATTAAAGAGAGAGAGAGAGAGAGAGAGAGAGAGAGAGAGAGAGAGAGAGAGAGAGAGAATGGACCACTTAAAAAATCCTTGCATGGCTCAAGGAAGAAAGACCCAGAACTGGAGACAAGAGGGTTAGTAATTTAATGATACACTGTTCTGTGTGCACTAATGGGCATGGCTGGCAGTTTTATAAATGAGCAGCTGCACTTTCTCCTTTGAAACTCCCAGTGGCTGCAGGCAGCTCTGACCCCGCGGAAAGAGGAAAGATCTGGGACCTGCTATTGCTACCTCACTTCTCCTGGCCGCGACTTCCCACCTGAGGCAGGAAGGATAGATGCCCTTGCCTCTTCTCAGAGCCTGGCTGTGATGAGCCCGCCCAAGGAGGCCCTGGCACCTGGGAAAGGGTGAGGGGGTCTGGCTGGCAGGTCTGGCTCTGCTCAGGGGAGCCGCTGAAATCAGGAGTCGACTTGGTGCTATTGAGACTCTGGATTTGACAAAAGGTACACAATCCAGCACCTTCCCCAGGAAACTTCATCTCACACAACCAAGAAGGTCCTTGATAATTCGCATTAAGTGCGTGAATGACATCAAATACGCCACAGGCTCATGACTCCCCCCCTCCCACCGCCACTCCCCAGACCCCATCACCCTGAGGAGAGACCAGAGGAAATCCAGCCACCACTTCTGGGCCGTGGCAACGTGAAAGCCATTCCTGGGACAAGCGGGAGAAGACCTGGTGTCCGTCAGAGCCCACCCGCTGTGCTCACCAGACCCCCACGCTCACCTCCCACTGGGCCGAGTGTGCCCTCCTGCTGGAGGACTGGAGTGCATGCCTGACACACCGCAGCCAGTGTTGGTTCCTGGATGGGCCAGGAGCGCTGCCCTGGTGCCAACACCAGTGGTGGCGGCGACGTGTGTGTTCGGGAGGGCGCATGTGGGAACTCAGGGCTTTCCACTCAGTTTTGCTGTGCTCTTAACAGTGCTCTAAAAATTAGTGTTAAAACACTGCAGCCAGCTGGAATCTGCCTGGGTGGGGGTGGGGATGGGGGTGAGGGAAGGGGGGAGAAGCAGCTCTTGCTCTAAAAGTGGTGCCTTTTGAGGTCTGTGACCTTAACATGCAGATGTGAGCATTCTGCAGAATGGAAAGATCTACACGGGAGTAGGTGACATTCAGATGGTGGGGGTGGGGGTAGAGGGTAGGGGGGTGGGAGAGTGGGGGGGTGGGGGATGGGGGGAGAGGGGAAGCCAGCAGGTGAGGCCGGGAGAGGCCTGGGAACCCACGGTGAGGCACGGTAAAGTGTCACAGGTGAAGGGCCTGAGTGCCCTGTGCCAAGTCCTGCCGACTTGGGGACCCACCTGGGGGGCTGTCGGGACCCACTCTGTTGGCAGAGCTCTGGAGCGCAGCCAGCCGGCTCCTCACGTTGCGGAGCCCCTCGGCGAAGCGGGTCTCCTGGACCTTCAGCAGCTGCTGCAACTGGCGGATGGCCGTGAGGACCTGCTGCTTGTTGAGGCAGCTCTGGGGACAAAAGGACCATCACTCACGATGGCTGGTTCACTCGCTCTCAGCTTCCAAAGCCACCCAGACCCCTGGCCCAACAGGGGGATGTGAAAGTGGCCTCGTGGGCACCCTGCCCAGAGTTCCCACTGGACCAAATGACGCCCCCACCACACGTAGTGTAGCCCCATGCACCCTTCAACAAAAGCAAAACGCCCACCTTCAGAGCAAAGGGCAAAACGGATGATTCTATATGACTGGGTGGGTAGACCCTGGTCTGTACCCAAAGTGCTTTATATTCAGTAGCCTTCACTCCAAGATGTCCCCACTCTGCACTCTAAATTAATGCTCTAAATCTGCGCCTTTGCCAAGTTTTTCTTTGTCCCTTGGGCTTTTTAAAAGCAGGTGGGCAATATGACCTACAAAACAGGCAAAACAGGAAGGCTCCATGGGCCCCATACTTTTAGCAATGTAACAGGCAAATAAGAAAACAACTATAGAGTTAGAGAAGCATTCAACAAAAGTCAAGGCCCAGTTCTGATGATGTTTTAAAAGCTTAAAAAAATAACAGAAAAAGGCCCTAGCTGGAGAACTCCAGCCCTCCAGTCATCCAGCTTGCTCAGTGGATAGAGCATTGGCCTGCGGACTGATGGGTCCTGGGTTCAATTCCGGTCAAAGGCACACGCCTGGGTTCAATCTCCAGTGTGGGGCGTGCAGGAGGCAGCCAATCAATGATTCTCTCTCATCACTGATGTTTCTATCTCTCTCCCTCTCCCTTCCTCTCTGAAATCAGTGAAAATTTATTAAAATAACAAATAGAAAAAGGAGGCTTGTGCTCTGCATGATAAAGACTAACTTAAAGCCACACCTGCATCATACTTAGTGATAACAGTTTTAAGGTTCCCAATCTCAACTGTGCGTAAGAGCCAGGGCATGAGGAGGGGGGCTGGAGGAGGGGTAAGTACAGTGGGTGGTGACAGGACGTGGGGCTCACCTCAGTGTGGCCGCGTCTGACCTGACCCATTACCTGCATGAAACAAAGGCGAACATTAGACGATAAACGACTGTTTTCTGTAGGGATAGGCTTATGGATCATTTTTCATTTTACTTTTTTTATACTTACTTTTTTTCCACAATGATTATTAGTTTTATAATTTAAGTTTTTTCTAAAAGGGCAGCAGGGCGGCGGGAGTCACGGGGCTTCTGGCCACCACGGTGGAAACAGAGTCGCCGCGGCTCTCCCAGGGAGCCTGCCAGGCCGCTGCCCCTCGGAGGTTTGGCCAACAGATGACTCAGCGGCCTGACTCAATGGGCGCTTTTGACAAAGCTGAATCCCCAGTTGCCCTGGAACTCGTTAACCCACGGGGCATCCTTGGCTCATTCCGCCCGGACCAGGGCCTGACGGGGCCTGGCCCCTAAGGCAGCTGCTGGGAAGAGAAGTTTTGTTTGTTTCCTTCTTCCTCCCCCGCGTGTCCTTCCCACTCAGGCCTGGGCGCCCCGGCAGCGCCTCTGGCAGCCCCTGCCTGCCCGGCATTGCCCAGACATCCCACCCAGGCCTCACTTCCCACACCCACGCCCCTCCCTTCAAAAAGCTGCTTTGATTAGATGGCTTCGTGGCTCCTGTGTGACGGACATTGAGAAGTTCACAATTTACAAAGCTACTGCCCCTTCAGAGAGTACTAGTGGCTGGAGCAAGGGTTGGGATGGCGTCTGTCACCGATGAAGATAAGAGGCTGAAAGCCAAGCAGCTTTCCCCAGATCATGGGGCTTAGGAGCTGTGGAGCCTGGCTGGGCCCCCGCTGGCTCCCATCTGCCACCCTAAGCCGTCAGCGACCCTCTGCATTGTCTTGTGCAGCCTCATTTGTCCCCCACAGGCCCTGGACGGTGAGTGGGCTTCTTGATGCATCTGCAATAGACATTGGTAACTCGATGGCCCAAGCAAAACAGCCCACAGGAGTGAATTTCTAACTCTTTGCAAATTTCAGGCTGCGGGGCCTGAATGGTGGGGCTGGAAGGGGAGAGGGAGTGGAGGCAACATCCCTCCCCACGTTGAGCCAAGCCAGCAGCTGCCTCCCTAGCTGGGAGAGGGCTCGCTGGGCTGGGGCTGCCCCAAGGGACACGGGAGGGCTGTTTTAAAATTGGGGAGAGGAGATCGGTGCCAAGACTGCTGTCGCGAACCTGGGGGTGGCATGGAGCCCCAGAAAGTAGAGAAAGAAGGGGAGCGAGTGTGGAGGGAAATAGGCGCAGCAGCCAAGTGTGTCTGAGCCCAGTGCAAGTTTGGGCACAGCTATCCTCTGCGTCTAGGTACCCTTCCCGGGACCCTCTGCCCCCGCACTGTGGAGAATGAGCACCAGCTGCTTTCCACCTAAATGCTCATTAGGCGTGAGAAGGCCTCATCCAGTCATAATGGGAAATGCTTCAGACCAAGCACACTAAGGCCACAACCCAGGCGGGAGGGAGAGGGGAGAGTTGTGGGTGGACTTGCTGAGGGAAGGTTGGGAAGGCCCGGCCCATTCATTCCTGCCTCCAGCATCGCAGGAGTGATGCTAACAGAGGAAGGTCCTTGAGAGCCTAGAAATAAATCCATGCACTGATGGTCAATTATTAATGTGAAGGAATCAAGAATATACAATGGGAAAGGAAGACAGTCTCTTCAACCGATGGTGTCGGGAAGACAGGACAGACACAGACAAAAGGATGAAGTGGGACCCACCATACACAAAAATCACCTCCAACTGGAATAGACTTGGATGTGAGACGTGAAACCATCGAACTCCTGGAAGCAAACATAGGTGGAAAACTCCTTGACACCAGTCTTGGTAATGATTTTTTTGGATTTGACACCAAAAGCAAAATAAGCAGGAAGGACTACATCAAACGAAAAAGCTTTGACACAACAAAGGAAACAAACCATCAATCAAATGAAAAAGCAACCTACTGAATGGAAGAAAAATTAATCCACAGTTAAGGGATTAATATTCAAAATATATAAATAACTCACACAAAACAACAGCAAAGCAACCCAAACAATCTTATTAAAAAATGGGCTGAGGCCTGGCTGGTGTTGCTCAGTGGTTGAGCATCGAGCTATGAATCAGGAGGTCACGGTTCCATTCCCGGTCAGGGCACATGCCTGGGTTGAGGGCTTGATCCCCAGTAGGGAGGGTGTGCAGAAGGCAGCTGATCAACTATTCTGTGTCATCATTGATGTTTCTCTCTCTCTCTCCCTCTCTGAAATCAATAATCCTATATAATAAAAGGGTAATAAGCAAACCGACCAAACTGCGAACCAAAGCTCAACGCAGGAACTGCCCCCTGGTGGTTAGTGCACTCCTACAGGGGGAGCACCGCTCAGCCAGAAGCCGGGCTCACGGATGGGGAGTGGTGAGCGGAGCAGTGGTGTCGGGAGCCTCTCCCACCTCTGACTGCGGACATCCCCCAAGGGGTCCTGGACTGTGAGAGGCTCAGGCTGGGCTGAGGGACCCCCTCCCCTCCCCACAGTGCACAAATTTTCGTGCACCGGGCCTCTAGTATATATATAATTGGACAGAGGATCTAAATAGACATTTTTCCAAAGAGGACATGATTAACAGGTACATGAAAAGGTGAGTGACATCATTAATCAATCATCAGGGAAATACAAATCAAAACCACAATGAAATAGCACCTCACACCTGTCAGAATGGCTGTCATCAATAAATCAACAAACACATGTTGGTGAGGATGTAGAGAAAAGGGAACCCTCTCCCACTGTTGATGGGAATACAGATTGGTGCAGCCATCGTGGAAAGCAGTATAGAGGTTCCTCAAAAAATTAAAAATATAGCCCTGGCTGGTGTTGGGCATCATCCTATCCACCAAAAGATTGCCGGTTCAATTGCTGGTCAGGGCACATGCCCAGGTTTTGGGTTCAATTCCTCATAAGAGATGTGGAGGAGGCAGCCAATCAATGTTTTGTTCTCACATCAATGTTTCTCCCTCTCCCTTCCACTCTCTCTAAAAAGCAATTTAATTTTTAAATTAAAAACACAACTACCTTATGACCCAGCAATTCCACTTCAGGGTATTTGTTTAAGAAAATGAAAACTGCAATTAAAAAATGCACGCCTATGTTCACTACAGCATTCTTTTCTCTTTAAAAAAAAATTGATTTTTAGAGAGAAAGGAAGGGAGAGGGAGAGAGAGAAACATTGATGTGGGAGGGAAACATCCATCAGCTACCTCCTACATGCCCCTACTGGGGATTGAGCCCGGAACCCGGGCATGTGTCCTGACCAGCAATTGAACTGGCAACTTTTCCGGTGCATGGAACGACGCCCAACCAACTGAGCCACACCGACCAGGGCTACAGCATTATTCTCAATAGCCAAGACATGGATATAATCTAAGTGTCCACAGATGGATAAATGGAAAAAAGGTATGCTATGACATATATATATATATATATATATATTCAAGGTGTGAATAGTTGTAAAGGCAGTGTTTATTAAAGTACATTTCATTTTCATAACTGAGCTATCAGCTGTTAAATTGTGTCTATATTTTGGGGGACACCCTGTATATACAATTCCACCATAAAAAATGAAGAAAATCCTGCCATTTGCAACAATATGGGTAGACTTTGAGGGCATTGTGCTAAGTGAAGTAAGTCAGACAGAGAAAGATAAATACTGTATGATCTCACTTGCATGTGGAATGTAAAAAATAAACTCCTGGATCAGAGAATAAATTGGTGGTTTCCAGAAGGTGGGGATGGGGTGGTGGTGAAAATAGCTGAAGGTGATCAAAAGATAAAAAGTTCCAGCTACAGGTCCTGGGACCTATTGAAAGTTGCTGAGAGTAGATCACAAACGTTCTCATCACAAGAGAAACAATTTGTAATTATGTGAAGTGATAGATATGAACTGACTTATGGTGGTGATCATTTCACAATATAGACATATATCAAATCACTAAGCTGTACGCCTGAAACTAATACAGTGCTGTATGTCCATTATAGCTCAATACAACTAGAAGAAACAAAAAGGAAAGTCCCCAAGAGGGGAAAAAAAAAGAGAGAGGAAGGTCTTTGAGGTCTTGGCAAGCCAGTGTGCGGGGTCTGGGCCGGGTACCAGGGAAACAGATTTAGTGGCTGCGGACGTGACATCTGATGAGTTGGCTGCAGCTGCTATTACAAGGGTGGGATCACTGCCTTGATCCCAAAATGCTAAATGGAGCCCTTGGGAGCTATGCCCAGAATCTGTCACCTGTCGTTACCTCAATTCATCTGCAGAGCCAGGTGCTCAAGAGGTCTGCATTATGGGCACAAATGGGGCCCAGAGCGCACTGGAGACCTGAGTGTGTCCCCTTTATCATGTCACCTGATCGTAAAGCATACTCCCTACAAAACATCAAAACAAAGAACAAATCCCGTGACCAGAGGCACCCCTGCTAACCGCTGTCAGTTTTCACTGCTGGATGGCAGACACATGCACACACACGAGGGTCATCATCATACACTGGGCCACAGGGCACAAGTTCCTTGTGGACACTGGGTTGTGTGTCACTGGGCTGTGGTCAGCTTTCCTGTGGACACTGGGTCGTGGCATCGTTCACACCGAGAAGCAGAGCAGCTTGTCGGACCCAGGCCTGGATACCACTTCCGCTCCTCTGTGCTCTTTCAGTCTGGGGAGGGGCTCCTTGCGCCCTCCATCTGCCTGCCCTCTTACCTCCCACACTCACCGCATCCCTACTCTGGACCACGAGGAGCCCTGGACTGAAAACAAACCATTTTCCTCTGCAAAGGTAGCCTTGATGAGGTCATCGGGGCACGCGGGGCCTCCGAGGCTCAGGGACAGGAGCAAGTTGGACCGTCAGGTGTCACTACCTGCACTTCAGCCTGGCCCTGCCACAGCAAGGGCTGGCTTCGGGCAGTCCCCTCCATCTCAAGGGCCCAGACTCCAACTGTTCAAATCACCCACAGGCTCACTCACCCTTCCACAGCTGACCTCCCACTCCAGCAAAGGCTCCTTGCGCTGTGATTAGGCA